CCCCCCCCCACGTAGCAGTGAGGTAGATGTATTAAGACACCTCTTAATAATTAGATTTTATACCTGGAACATTATTTTAAAATAAGTTTTTCATATGTAGAATCTACTTATTGGGGGAGTCATCTTAGATCCAGGTAAATATGGTAACTACTTTTCTTGAAATGCAAAATTGATACAAGATGTACATTATGGCTACTTTTGGGGTAGTATATTAAAGGAGAGATTTGTATTAAATATTTTCTTTTTAGTGCCTAAATATATGTATTTTTAGGAGTTTCTAAAGGTCAGTGCAGAACAACATTTTGTTTTTAACAAGAAAATAGAACCTTGTTCATCTCTTGAAACAGCACCACTTCTTGTTAATCTGAAAAAGGTAATATTCACATTTATTTTTACCCTGTACATATTAATGGATGGATGACCCTTATCCCCTTCTGTGGGGCAGTCTAGGCAGTTACTTGCAATCATGTAAATGAGAAACATAAAGAAAAATACCCAAGTAATTAACTGGCAGAACTTTCATATTTGCAAAAGCAGTATCCTTCCTCCTTAATTATTATTTTTTTAAGATCCTGTAATTGAGCATATTTTCTCAACAATTTTTTTCATACTTCATATCAAGGGTCAATTTGGTTTGTGTGTGTGGCTTCTTTAATGGCTGAAAGACTTAAAATCCACTCGGCATCTTATTTCTTGCAATACTTCATGCCTTTCTTATTGGTACTGCATACCAGGACATTATTTCTTGGGTTTTATTTTGGTTTATTAGTCTAGAAGGATGTCATTAGCAACTGACTTCAGAATGATTCCCAATAAATGAGTTTTTAGATAAGCCCTGAGGAACCTTCTGCCATTCTACAAAGTATGTTAATGCTTGAAAAAATATAAGCATATATAGGCTTTGTTTTGGAGAATAATTTTTCTAAACCTATTTTAAAAGTTGGTGTAATTCCATCATGTACAATGTTTGCCACTTTTACTTTCAACGTAATTACTGCTTATGTGGATCTAAGAGAAGGAAATTTGTGAATGCATCCTTGTGAGCAATATAATTGATCCAGAAGTGGCAACAAAAAACAGTGAAACAAGCTTCTGCAATAAATAGTATCTATTGTGCTCAAGGAAAAATAATTCTTATTTTATTTATTTTAATGTTCCTTATTTGAAATATTTAAACATTTGTTTTCTTATGAGAGGACCTTTAGAATTAAACGTTTAAAAACTGACGGATTTTTTTGATCTAGCAGTTTTCATTTGTCTTTTTGTAGGAGCTTCTCTGGAATAAGTTTCAAGGCCCTACTTTCACACAGTCTTATTGTTGGCCACCTATAGCTCGTGGATGTGATGTAGTTGTCATCTCTCATCATGGAAATGATCCTCTGTTGTATATTCCACCAATTCTTACATTTTTGCAATCAAGAGGCTGCTACAAGTCATTGCCAAGTGGGAATGGTGTAAGTCAAGGAGGGGCAATTATTTGGGCTGGAGAGCCACTTACGAAGTTTTGGTGAGCTGTTGGGAGAGGTGGGAGGGTGCTGACCCAGCCTCGTTCCCTATTGTGGCTGTTTACACTTCCTTGTGGGGGAGTGGGGCTGTGGGATGGAATGGGTGGGTAGGGTCTCTGTGGAGACTGCCAGGACCCCCCGTGGGTAGGTTGCACTTGGCTGAATGAATGGGATGCGGCTGTGGGTGGGCAGGGAGCAGCATCTGAGAGTGGGACAGGATCAGGATTGTGGGGTGGTGACAGCAGGGGGGCTTAGGCCTGGGGCAGAGCCAGGATCCATTTGCTGCACATCCCTGCAATGGACAACAGTTTCCTGGCAATGCATTGCCTGGCCCTGTGGACTGCAGCTCCCAGTGTGCCTGAGAGCCACAGTTGGGAATAGGGCAGGCTGCACTCCATGCTGTGTGGCATGTGCTAAGAGGTGGGGCCAAGGGACCCACTGTGGGCTGGACAGAAATCACTTGGCAGGCCGGATCCAGCCCGTGGTCTGTATTTTGCCCACCCCTGGTGTAAGTGCATTCACTTTCTTAATGTGTTACCATTTTAAGGGAAAATACAGTCTCAATTAAAATACAGTGATTGGCTTATAAAATTTAGGCTATTCAGGTGTGTTTTTAAATGCCTTAGCATCTGAATTAGATCTACTGTAAAGTAAAAGGAGGTAAGTTAAATCAATGTGAAGGTTCTCAATAGGGAAACTTAAACATTGACAGCATTTTATGGAACTTGTATCTTTTAAAAATAACTTAATGAAGTGTAAAGGAGACCCTGGGGTCTTGGCCAAATTTTAGTTTGGATAAAATGTTTAAGTATCTGAATTTTCCTCTTAGTGTTCAATGAATAAGAAAGGTTTTATTTTTGTGGTACACCATTGTGTACTCTTGCTTTATGTTAAATAGTTCCTGAAGTTTCAATGGGAACAGTGCTTTCTGTATAGGTTAACATGCTCTTTTACTTTTTGAAACCTTTTGGGATTAATCAAATGTTGTTATTATCTTAAATAACCTTTCTATATTATAACCCCTAGCATCCTGAGATTTTTTTTTTTTTTTAATTCTAAACTAAAATTCTGCAGACTGATGTGTGTGTGTGTGTGTGTGTGTGTGTGTGTGTATGTATCTGTATGGATATAGCCAACAACACTAATTGTGTGTCCTGGATGGAAGAAAGCACAACTCATTTTTGAATTACTGAAAAAATACGGCAGATGTTCCAGACCGTTGCATCCATTGTTGTTATTAGTTGGACTGAATAACGAAGAGGTCAAAAATATGAAACTTCAACAAGGATGTAAGAATCACTTATTGCTTGTTTATGTTTCAAAATGATATGGGTTAAACTGATTTTGCAAAGTGTTAAGTCTGCTATTTTAAAATCCCAATTTGATGCATTTTTTTTTTTAAAGAAATTGCATAAATTTACAACTAATGATGGATTATTTGCACTTGGAAGAGCTCAGTTAAAAGGTAGATAAATTCTCTATGCTATCCTGCCAGTGAATCTAAAGTTCTTACAGGCAGCAAATCTGTTTGAGACTCTATGAAAGTGATGCTCTAATTACATACCTTAGGGCATTTGTAGACGACACGGGAGGTTTAAATTGAAGTGGTGCTTTTTTTTTAAAAGCACTGCTTCAATTTAGAGTGAAGTCAGCCCCTGTCTTGTGTATACCTGTGTCCTTACCTGCCTCTCTGGCAGCGGGGAAGGGAGAGCGAGCTGCTGGTTGGTGCTTCCCTCCATAGCGGTGGTGGCCTCCCTCCCCTCCCTGCCCCCAGGGAGCACCCGTTTGCAGGCATCTGGCTTGGATGGTCCTGGGGGGGCACTGCAACTGTGGAGGGAAACACTGGGCCCCTTTGCAGCTCAGGCAGGCAGGCAGGCTCCAGGGAAGGGAAAAAAAAAAAAAAAAAAAGATCAGGCTTGCCACTTTTTTCCTTCAGTGCAGCCTGCCTTCATAGATTTCATAGACATTAGGGCTGGAAGGGACCTCAGAAGATCATCAAGTCCAGCCCCCCTTCCTAGGCTGCTGCCTGCTGGGGCTGTCTGCAGAGCTCCTGACCCGCACAGAGCCTGGTGATACCGTCTGCGGCTGTAAGGTAGCAAACTAAAACTCCTCGGAATTTGCTACAGCAGCTGGAATTAATGCATAATACAGGCAGTCCTTGGACTTGCAACCCAATTGGTTCCTGAAAACCATGGCTTAAGTCAAAACATTGTAACTTGGAACCAATTTTCTCATAAGAAACAAGGTTATAAATGGGGGATTGGTTCCTGAACCAAGGCCCAGTACACTATTTTCACCAAAAATACCCCAGGACTTTGTACTTGATTATAGATGAGTAATATATCTACAGTAATATATTTATATTGTAAATAACAATCATTGATTCGGAAGGACTTCTTTGAGGTGACTTTGGACTTTCTGAAGGACTCTTGGTTGGACTTTCTGGTTCTTAGCTGGAGTCCTGGTATTCTCAGGAGTCTTGGCTACTGGTTTTCCTGGAGTCTTGTCTGCTTTCTTAAAGAAAGTGTCCAAGGAAGTTTAGACAGATGTTCTCCAGGAAGATGAGCAATGCAGTGAACTTGTTTGCTGGCATGACATTGCATTGGATCAGGCATTTTAAGTCAAAACTGGCGATGTAAAGTTGAGACGGTGTAAATTTATAAAGGTTGTAAGTGCAAAACGTAACTCGAAACATTGTAACTTGAGGGCTGCCTGTACACCACCGAATCTGCAAACTCGTGCAAACAGCAACACCATTAAAGTGGTGCAACAGGGCATTTAACCCACTTTAATGTGTCATCTATAAATGCCCTTAGAGACAAACATCACTTCTTGATGAACTGAGGTATTAGTGTAGAATTCTTGCTTGGAGATGACCAAGTTTAGGCTGTTCTGTGTGATATGCAGATGTAGCCAAAAAGGAATTACGTTACTCCATTGTACTGTACAACAAAAACCAAGGCAGTTATTTTCCAGTATGGAGTATGTGAAGAATATTGTAAAACAGTGGTACTTGTCCTTTTTCCCCCAGTGGGCTGGATGGGCAGTGCCCTGTCTATCTGCTGGCTGTCTTGATCCAGCATGAGGGCAGGTGCAGTGGGCACCTTCTGGCTGGTTGGAAGGGGGCAGGGAGCAGCTCAGCTGCAATCTGGCCCTGTGGGGTGAAAGGGGGTGTGGCCTGGCTGCAACCAGTAATGTGGAGTTTGGGATTGGGGAATTTGGTGAAGGGAGAGTCACCATATTAATGGCCACCACTCCCTTGATGCCAAATTTCCTGCCCTGTGAGGAGCCCTGTGGGCCATGTAGGGAGCCCTGAGAAAATCATGGGTTTCTTGTAGATAATTCACAGCACATATGCAGGTAAAGTATCATTTTTCATGGAATATTCACGGAACTACCATTGATCTTGGCAAATGAGTTGCTGTATATTCCATGAAAAATGATAGCTTACCCCTGCACATGCCACATATGTGGCAGGCACGCACATGCACCGCCCTGGCCCTTGAAACTCCCTCCCCTCCCCCACATGCACTTACCTTCATCCGACTGCTGGGGCTGTTCCTACAAGCCTGCCTGGCTGCATCCTGGCCATGTCCCCAGCAGCTGTTTTGCAGGCTGGAGTTGCAAAAGCCCAGGTTTCCCCTTGCAGGCTGGAATGCTGCCAGCCTGCAGAGGGAAACCTGTGCTTTTGTGGGCTTTTCTGGCACAGCCTCTGACCATTAAAAATCGTGATGTGTGGCTGATTTCTCGGTATCCACACAGTCTGCAAAATCACAATTTTCTTAGGGCCCTATAAGTGCATATTATTAGCTTAATATACAATTTAGAATGTTAAGTTTTAAAACATTCAAGTGGACAAGAGACTGCCGAATCACAAACGGGCAATCTACCTAACTCCTATCGGTAGGCAAATGGCAAAGAGTATAAGTAATTGGAAATAAGAAAAGATAGTGGCTGAGAGTATTGATATATTGCATTTTAAAAATATATTTTTGTTGACCCTGGGTTGATAGCTGAAATTAAAATATTGATGGCTTTTTGCTGAGGCAGCGTGAGAGGCTTTTTAAAAATTGCCAGTTAACTGTGTATACTTCTGTAATGTATATTCTTTGTGATGTATTTTGTGAGTGAATTCAGGGTTTGATTGACATTAGTTTTATATCTTGTTTCTTAATTGGTAGGCCTGTCATACAGTGATGCTTGACATGACTGTATAACAATCAGTTGTATTTATTCATTTCAGCAGATTTGAATTACAGGATTACATGCTGCATGTCTTGGCCCGCATTTCTAGACTTGTTTCCCAAAATTATTGTTTTTTTTTTTAAAGCAGGTACTGTTAGGGAGTTCTGTAGACCTACATTTGTATTGTTTATTCCTATTCTCTGACTTGCAACCCTTTCCAAAACCATCTACCAAGTTATGCAAACTGAACAGGAGTTTGTAGATGTTGAATGCTTCATTTTTTTACTTAATGAGTTGAATCTTTAGTTATATGAAGAGAAGAGGTGTGGAAAGTATCTTTTCAAGTGTGGGGGGTTTGTTCCACCTCCTTAACTTTGGGCTGGAAACAGAAACAGGATACTGTACTGTTACTTGAATTTGTTGCATTTCAGTCCCAGCATGGAAAGCAGGATCGGGAGATGCAGCATTATCTGTTCTGCCATTTAGGGCAATTTTAGCCATTTTTGTGCCCTAAATATCACAGACAAGTTAAATCAGGAACCAAAGGTATATCCCAATGTCCGTATAAAATTCTTTAAAAAGATTCCTTCTGAATGGTTGTCCATGTGCGTATAATCACTGGGTGTGCTCCTGCCTTGGAGCTTCCTTTTGGATACAAATGTGCATTTGGACAAAATTGTCTTCAACTCCAGTTCCTGGGAACTGGTTTTTTTGTTTATTTTGTTATTTTTAATGTAAAAATAAAATGACCAAAGCACATGATGTAAAACAACAAGAATTGATAACAGTGCTTTCGTAAATGAAAGCTGAAGTGTTGCCAGCTTTTTTTTTCCTTCCACCATGCAGGTGAAGTGATTGTAACCACACCATACAGCCTTTTAAGACTGCTTGAACACCATAGCTTGTTATTACTTAGACTTTGCCATCTTGTTCTTGATGAGGTTGAGGTACTGTTATCAGAAGCCAGCAAACAAGTGAGTATGAGATTTGTTCAGGTTGTCTTATGTTGCTTCTACTGTATGTTATAATTTACATATTTAGAAGGACAGGGAACTGTTATAAATATGACCTCAGTATAAAACAGGACTCTAGCCCATGATATGATTGTCCAAATTTTAGCAAAAGTTAACCCCCCTACCAAAAAACAAAAAAAAAAAAAGAAGAAAGACTTTAAGAGGTTTGCAAGACTTAAAAAGAGACCTGGGAAACTGGGATGGGGAGCAGTTTAAGAACTGATTTTTCCATGCTGCTTTTAACATGGTGTCTAATGTCTCAGAGCAGAAAGGGAAAACGTAACTCATGGGATTGGTGTGATGCAGACACTTTTTCCTCGGGGCTGTACAAAACTTTTTTTCAGTTTTTTTTCCCCTGAGATCTCTTTTGATTACCTGGTAGGCAGACTTCTCCATTCCCCTGGAATGGAAGACAGAATTTAGCTTGAACCAAGATTACTTTCCCATCTACAAGTCATACAGACTAAGTCTTTTTGCTGCAGGGTCAGTAGAGACTATTCAAACTGATCCTGACACACAGGGGTCATAGGGAGATGTGTATCTGTATCAGTAAAAGTAATGCACTAGAAGTGAAGGCATTCTGTGATGTGCTCTGCTGCAAGGGAGAAATAGAAGCCCCCTGCTAACTGACAGCCTCCCACCCATAGTGGGGCACAGCAAGCAAAGCTGCAGCCCTCCTGTACTCCCCCACGAACAAGGTTGTCAGTTAGCATGGGAGTGGTACCAACCTTCCCCATTGCAAGTAGAGCCATAGCCTTTATTCCTGGATGAGCAGTAGCTCTGCTGACTGCAGGCAAGTCTAGTCCTGGTTCAGTGACAGCCTGGTGCTGGGAGGAGGTATGTGGGGAAGTGGGCAAGTTTTGCTTTCTTAAAGCTTCACCCACTTTCCTCCTCCCTCTGCTATTTTGGGATCAAGGGGGTGCAAAGGATTTTTTATGTATATATACTTTGTGAGTGCTTTAGTGTGCACCTCAAGCAGCTCATCTGAGGCTTTTGCCTTAACAGTACCTGGAGCACAGTGCCTCATGGCAGGTATAAAAGGTCCCTGCATACTTCAACACCATGTCCACCAAGGCAGTTTTCCTAGTTGCTGAGGATAACCGCTTTTCTGGCAAGGGGTAGTACCTGGGCGGAGGTAATGTATATTTAACCTCCCGCTTTCACTTCCAATAGAAAGATCTTGGCTTTACACTCACTTTATGGAAATGGAAGATTTCTTTCTAGCTTGCTTTTGTGGCCATATGGCTGAGGCAAGCGAAACCCAGGGGCATCCAAACCCTAATCTCCAGGCTTGAGCCTGCACATAGGATGCCCACCAAAGGATTTGGAAGCATCTGAAGCCCCAGGTGGGGGTGGCGGATGTTCGCTGGTAGTATGGCCACATATGGTTCTTGAATGACTCATGGATTTGGAATTGATTTGGCTGATTTGACTTGGAACATGAAAAATTTTTCTTTAAAAAAAAAAAAATTCCTCCAAAAAACAGGTCCATGCATACTTTCTGCTCTTCAGTTTCCTTTACCTACCTTGCCTTGAGATGAAATATACTTCCCAGCATGTTTGCAGCCTGCATTTTTGAAACGATGGGTTCTGGCTTATACGTACAGTGTGACTGGTCTTTCTTAGGTGCAATGCAGTCTCCACTGACTGTTACTGTTTGTAGACTGGAATAAGAGAGGGGTTTACCCAAAAAAAGAAAACAAAATCTCTTTTTACAGGTATTTATGATCCTAGAATATTATAGGAAAACAATCCCTGTTGCAGGGAGGGAATCTGCACCACGTCAGATTGTTGTTGTTGGAACTCGTTGGAATAAACATATAGAACATGTAACAAGAGAGTTCATGAATGATCCTTATATTGTGATAACATCTATGGAAGAAGCATCCATATATGGAAATGTTCAACAGGTAAAAGTCCAGGAATTGTGCTTTTTTCCCCTCAGTTGTATACTTTGTGTTCCGTACAGAGGTGATGCTTATATACTTTTTGCAGTGTTTTTTTATGGTTGGAATGAGCTTAGTTTTTAGATTTGAACATTTATTGGATATTTCACCATTTTTATTATGCTTATATTGTAATCACAGGTAAGAATGCCTAAACTAGTGATTTGCAACCAGAATGCCCTTCCAGCCTTACTTTCTACAATTCTGAGGGCACTGACAGACGGCGGGGTGGGGGAACAAAAATGCACTTCACTGGAAGAAGCAGCACATTAGTTTGACCTAGCTCTGTAGTATCTGTATAGATTGGGCACTTCAGTGGGGCTTTTTGGGGTTTTTATCCAAAGCGATTCAATCATCTATTAGATAAAAGAGCCAAAAAAGCCCCAGTAAAGTACCTCATGTATACAGGTGTTGGGTGAGCCGGGTCCAACTAACCTGATGCCTCTTCTGAGCATGTGTTGGGCTCAGCACACAGGCGTATGGCGTTTGAAGTGCTATTTTTGGTGGGGAGGGGAGGGTTTATGTTTGTCAGCACCCTAAGTAATGCACATCATCCCAAATAAACATCAGGTACATGTAATCATGTACTATATATACCACTTTTGTTACAGAGCAGTTATTCCAGATGTACTAGATTGGTAAACGAATACAAAAAAAATTTCCAACTTTTTTTTAAACTATAAAGTCAGGTGTCATAATTACCATGAATCCCAGCACTTCATGGTATAGTACAAAAAATTCTATACCTAACAAGGTCATGAAATTAAAATCTCATGAGTTTATCACTTCCAGCCAAGCAAAGTACTAAGTGTAACTAAATATGTCTGCTTTCCAGTGATACAAAGCTCAAATCAGATCAGATTGGGCCATACTAAGACTTTAAAGTTGTGACATTTTAGTTGATTTAAAAAAAAAAGTCTTCTTTTTGACTCGACATATTTTTGGGTGCAGAGAGAAGAATTTTTGTACTAGGCTTGATTTTTAAATGGTAGTTTTTTCAAGTGACAATTGGAGTTGGGGTACAGTCTCTGAATTGGAACTTCTCAGATCTTAAATCAATGATTAGACTTAAGGCATCCCTCAGAAAATGCTGGCTCTTAGCTTTCATTCAATTTTTTGACTATGGAAAAATAATGGAGCAATTCTTTTGTTGCAGAGAACTCAAAAAACTCATAACGTCAGAATGTTTTAGCACCATGGATTAGTATTTGAAATACCGGAGTTTATCATATTTGTGTACCTAAACAAGCACTAACATTGCGTAGCACCTAGTGGCACCCTTGGAAGGATCTCAAGGTGTCTTAGAGTTCTGGCATTACTAGTTACGTTTTTTGATTCTGATAGTGTAATTGCAGTGTATAAAAGCGATGTACTTATGAAGAAGATTCACTGTAGTAAAATGACAAGATTTTTTTGTCCCAGTTAACTTAACTTAATTTTGTCACTTTAACAGGTAGTGCACCTTTCTTTGGACTGTGACAAAATCTCTGTATTACTCAGGATATTGGATTTCACCCCTAGTAATGCTCAGAAGACCTTGATTTTCACTAATTCTGTGGATGAAACAGAAATGGTTTATAGAGTAAGTATTATTGTGTACATATAGATATGGAGAGTGTTTTAAGTAACACGGTACAGCAAGTTACAGCAACACTGACTTCTGAGCAGAGATTAAAAATGTGAACTTTTGAGATCAGTAATTTCTTCTTGCCAGAGAAATAATTGGTTATAGATCAAAATACTTCCTTTAGAGTGCCACTTTAAAGTTGTGAACAAATTCCATATAACACTGTTTTGATTTTTCCAAATGAAAATTCATGAAAGTTGTTGGGAAAAGGAACCTAAGGCAGACAAGGTAGGAGGGTAGAAACAAAAAAGGAATAAAAGCTAAGCAGACAGGGCAGAAGCTTGTAACCATTGGAGAATACTTTTCTGCAAAACGTAAGTAGAACCCACAATCTCTAAGAAAAATAAGGCCCTGGGCATCAAAATTTGAGTGCTTAAAATGAGTGAACATTGTCAATTTTGGCCTCAGGGTTGCTGTTGGATCCTTATCTGTTAAATGAGTAAACTAAAGTCAGTTTTACTTCACGAGGATGCTGTAAAAATAAATCCATTAATGTTTGCATAGCATTTGGGGGCTGTGGTGATGAGAGTAATATATTTAGTACAGAGTTTACATAATACGCAGCAAGTAAAGTCAGCTTATACCCTTACCACACTCCCTGCCCCCTTCACCCCACTAATATACTATACAGTAAACAGCCTCAGTCTTGACAGGGCTTATCAGCCCCTTGTAGGGTTAGTGCCTGACCCCGTTAATTTGTTACTAGTAGAACTCTTCTTTACTTATCCCACCACATTTTAGATTTCGTCACATCATATTACCAGAATTACTGCCCTCCCTTCTTGTTGGCTAGGATTATTTCTGAAACCCAGCTTTGCCCCCATGGTACAGTAACACCACTCCTTCCAGGGAGCACTTGCTATATTTGCCTGATCACCTTTATCCTGCTCCCCCAAGTCCAGTGTTGATGGTTTCATTTCTCAGTAGAAACTTTTTTTTCAACTGAATAATTGCCCACCGTAACTTTTTTCTCTCCCACAGTTGGTGTTCCCAGCTTGTGTACAGTCCCCCCCACCCAATCAAGGCCCCATTCATCAAATATAATTAGAAAGCCTGTTGGCCAGGGAGTTAAAAGGCCAAAACTGTAACATCTTTGGAACTTAAGTGCAAAATTCCTCCATGTGTCTGTTGTATGTTCCAAAGCATTGTCAGTGCCAAATGGACATCAACTATAAAATGAACATTTTAAGTCAATTATTTTCCATTCTTGAAGTCATTTTAAGGTGTTTGTTTCTGCATAGTTTGCAGTGGATTTTGGGATGGAGTGCAGAACTTTAACCTTTACTGATAATTTCCATATCCCCAACCATCGCTCACCTGTTGTTTGAGAAAAGCCAAAGGAAATATTAGCAGTTCTAGAGGGAGGTTCATTTTACTGAAACGATTGAATGGGATCTATAATGCTTTACTTTCACTTTATTTTTCTATTTGATAAGTCTAAGTTACAGAAATCCGAAACAGCCCTAAGCACTTCAGTGTCCCTATGCCACAAATGGTTAATTTTCTTTTGGTTTGTTCTAAGACTTAGATTCTTAGGGCCTATTTTCTGTCATCCTGGAGGATTGCCCAAACCATAACACACGCTTTGTCACACTGAAACACAACTATTTCAGCCTAGCTGTGATGTGGTTGGTAGGTTCACACACAACACTACTTGTAAAATATTTTTTTCTTACCTTCAGGGTCCCCTTGCATCACAGTCCTGGCAAGGATCACAAATTACTGTAATGGTGTAGTCTATACAGAGAAGAAGGCCCTGGGGCATTAAGACCCAGATGTCAGCAATGCAGATTCTTTGAGCAAGCACTTGAGCAAGCACAGGCTGTCAAATATGCAGATAAGAGCTGATGTAAATCCTTGTATATTAACAACACCCTATCGATGCTTTCACTTATGCAGGCGAAATCCCCCTTTGTTATGTAAGCAAATATGTAGTTTCAGATACTTTTTCAGTCTCTGAAATGTATGGACAATGCTGGCGTAGTATAAAGAGCCTTTCTTTTATTTTAGAATCTAGTTTGGGATGGTGCAGTTAGAGGGCATGGCAAATTGGAAGAGTTTCTCGTTACCCTGGTCCTGCTACTGGGTCAAGCAGACCAACTAGGTCAGGCGTGGGCAAAATACGGCCCACGGGTCTATCTGGCCTGTGGGGCCCCTAAAAAATTTAGAAAATTAATATTTATCTGGCTTTGGTTCCTGTCAAAAATGACAGGAACCAGGGGCAGTAGGATCCAGGGGAAGCCGGGCCTGCTTAGCCCCGCCCCCCACAACCGGAAGCCCTAGCAGGGGCTTCTGGCCTGGGACCATGTGGCAGCACCTGTTCTGGAAACTCAGGTAAGGGGTGGGGAGAAGGGCAGGGGAGAAGTCTGGGGAGAAGCAGCCCCTCCCCGGCCCCACGGCTGGCACTCCCTGCTGCAGCCACTCATAGCCTGTGCAGGGATGTCCTGAGCAGGCACAGGCAGCCCCATGTGGACTGTGAGTTGTTGCAGCACGGTGCCGGCCATGGGGCGGGTGAGGGGCCGCTTTTCCCATGCTCAGCACAAGCTTGTAACCTGCCCGCGCTGCCAGCCTGGGCCACGCGCCAGCTCTGGGCTCGTTCCGTTGGGGCTGCACACAGTGGCAGCAGCTGTGGCCTCCCCACTTGCCGTGCCAGGCAGAGTTTGCTGTTGCTGCCCATCTGTAGGTTA